ATTATAACACTACTAAGCGCACAAGGCAAGCTAAGATTGAAGCTATTCACACGTCCAGTTGCTTATCAAACACCACTGCATGGTGTGATCATGTGACACGTGTCATTATTTCAGAAAATGGCCCATAAGAAAAGATAATTTGGGCGGGGAGCATATTTCCTTCAAGATATTTTTAGCATGAAAATGTTTCAAGACAAAGACAGGGAGAGTGACTGATTCTTAACAACATGTGACCTCTGGGAGATTTTCTGTGAATCACTGCGCGCATGTGTCTCGCCTGCGTTTCTTAAAAACACGTGAGTTAGCCTCTGTGCATTCTTTTGTTCAGCAGTGTTTCCAGACTGATTGCAGTCGGAGGAAAACTTCTTTCAAATGAAGCCAGAGTCCCAAAACAATTACCTCATATTCCGTCCCCATGGCAATGCTGGCCCTTACCAAAACAACAACAAACAGGGCTGTTTTGTTTACAGGCTTCTCGGGTGGGACTTGTTGACACATGGCGGCCCCTCGGCGGCCTCCAACATCTTGAAGTTCAGCCGGTCACTCAGATCAACGTGTGCAGCTACTTCCTGCTCTCTCTGCTAGAGTGTTCAATGATGTTACTTGGCCGAGACGCCAATTCCAGCTTGTAAACCAGTTTTTGGATAATATTTCTTCGCAATGAAAGTCTGTGCCCACGTATAAAAAGAACTAAATCTGTTTCACAAGCTTTACTGTTATGAAACAGCAGAGAGGCTAATGGGTGCAGCCAAGGGTAAGTATTGATCTGAGTTATGTTGTTTAACAGAATGAGCAGCAATCAGCATCACAAACAAAGATTTGCAAACTGTCTTAAATGTATCCATTTTTCTGGTGTTGTGTAAGGCCTCACGTCCACCTGGTGTTTTTTCTGTGCAGAAAAGCGCTGACTGTGGGAATGCTTGCATGAAGCTCTTGTGCGCTGAGAAGACGAGCGATGCACGTCCGTCCTGTCTCTATGACAACGGCCGCTGTAGGACAGACACTGCTCCGTTACTTTTTACTGCAAGTTTTATGTTTGAGATAAGACACGGGGCGAAGAAGACGTGGGTACAGGACACGATCCGTAGGAGGCTAAAATACTGGGAATATTTTACTTTTGGCGGGGCGCTCGTAAAAAAAAAAGATGCTGGGCCGCTTTCTGCATGAATGCTCTCTACTTATTGAAAACAACTGAAAGAAGATGCTGGCGCTCAGAAAAAAACACTAGGTGGACACGGGGCTTTAGACGTTTTCAAGAAGCAAAATAGTGTAGCAGATTTCCAATATTTTAAGGATGGCAATGTGCATTCTGCATATCGGACACTTTCATTTATTCATGTTGAATGGATGGAGTTGTAGTATGACAGCATCACTTCTTACAACCACTTTGTGTGTCTAAAGCCGAGCTACTGTACGATTTCAGGCCGACTTGGACCGGATGTCTGCCTAATTTCCGCCCAATCGGGGTCGTTACTCGTGCAGTGTACACTGAGACAAAGCGGCCAATCACAGTCCGATCAGCCCGATCCCTCTTGACCAGTCTGATGATTTTCTGGCATGGTCGAAATGTTGGGTGTACGTACGGCTGCACACACTCGCACAATGAAATCAGAGCCCCGAGCTCATTCCCAGACTTCAGGACATTTCCACCTGATTTCACCTGCACAAAGAGACAACGCCTGACATCACCATGGCGACAGCAGGCATGCCTGTTTAATCTATCGCCCCCTCTCTGACCATGGAAGAAAACATTGTCAGGAATGATCTGATGACCTCGGTTGTGACACAATACAATAAGTTCACCTAACCTAATATTACATTACAACCTGATTGGGGCACCGATGGCCTAGTGGTTAATGTGCACTCCAAAAACGGAGACTATAGTCCTCCAGGTGGGAGGCTGCTGGGGTTTGGGTCCGGCCTGTGGCTCCTTTCCTGCATGTCATACCCCAGTCTCTATCCCAGTTCCTACTGTACCCACTGCCCTGTCTAAATAAAGGCAAAAGACCCCAAATGTATCTTTACCTCCCCCCCACACAGGGAAACTGCGGCTGTGTCTAATTTCTTGATGCGTTAAAAATTATATACGATGCACTCTTGGCCCTGGTTTTTAATACTTGAAACACTAGAAAGGCAGTTTGACAACCGCATTTATAACCCTCACATATCAGTGAATATATAGGATGCTGACAGAACGCCCACCCTCTCCCACCACAAAATGAATCCACATCCTCGACTCCCGACACAGCTGCGGCAGACACGTGCCTGACTCGCCTCTTTGGCTCGGGGCCCGTGGTGGTGGTGTTTTCTGACCTATATTCTCCTCGACTCTCCCTTTCCTGGGCATTAACAGCTTCCTTTCTAACAACTGCACCTTTTCAATCCAGCACAAACACACGACTATGCCATGAATTTCACCCTTTGTGTGTGTGTGTTTTTTGACTCCCTTGCACAGGTTCAGCGGGCGCAGAAGCAGTGCAATTCGTCTGGCCGTCACATAGCAGCAAATACCTGCATGTCAGTAGATGTTACGGTTACTACTAATACTGTCACTCATAGTTACTTCCTATTTTATTGATCCCAGTGGGACAGTTGAGCTCTCTAAGGAGGGCGAAGGTCAGAGGTCTGACAGACCAGGAAGAGATTAGGATTCAGAGGACACTGTACTAGTGTGGATGTCTGCAGACACAGGGATACAAAGGGTGGTCCTTCTCAGCATGTGATGATGCCATACTGTGAATAAGCTGTGTCATTTAGGTCAGACGTACTCTGTAGCCCAGCAACCTAAAGCAAAAAAATGTAACTACTCCGACATTGCTCATGCCTTTCCCTTCACTCGCTTTGCTCTACTGCCCTCAATAAAATGAAAAACACTGCAGCTCTGTTCGGTGTGAAAGAGCTGCAGGGTGGTGATGAGTTAACTTCCCCTCTCTTCAACGGCCTCTTACGGAAAGCAGACTGGACTGTAAAGTCAAAACAGTAAATCCCTGAAACTGACGGAGGTTGAGTTAGGGAAACTGGTTTCTCTGTGCGTGTGTTGGTTTGTGTTTGACAGACACGTGACCATGTGGAAATTATTAGATGTGGGCTGATTCAGCATGTTGGCACAATTCTGTGTTTGCACGCGAGTCAGTGGATCGCTGTCTGCCACCTCCAGGCGAAGTAAGTAAGTAAGGAACCACTCCCCTAACCTACACACACACACACACACACACACACACACATATATATATATATATATATATATCGTCCTCCTGGTAAGAGACTAAAGACACACAACACAAGATCCAGGAGAAAACAGCAGCTGTTATCATCGCTGCTTGAGACCAGGAAGTCACACATCACACTCTGTAAAACTCTCACAGAGAAACTGTATCCTCTGTTCACGTCCCGTCTAAACCAGAGTGACCACAAACACTTGATGTCTGTTTTTGAGGGTGGGTGTACAGCCATCCTTGTGTTTATTTGTAGGAAATAAACACTGCAAGAATAAAACAGCTCCAGTGATGATACTCGTATAATGAAGTGAGGTTATGACATAACCCAACCAAAGGATATCGATGCTCCCGCAGGTCACCATGTGGTGGACTCTGAAGCTTCAGTGTTTATCCAGCTCTGCATGGGTCTGTAAACCTTTCTGTGTTCTAACCTCTCTCCATTTTTCAAAAGCATCTCCAATATTGATCCTAGTTTGAGCACGTTTCTGCTCGTGGAGCTTATTAGAAACATGCAGAGGCTTTTTAGGTCGGGTACAATCACTTCTATCTGAACCACTTCTCTTGACCGCTTCCATCGCTGCAACACCTGTTGACCTGATAACTGCTCTCATATCTGACAAATCGAGGGGCGTCCAAAACAGCTGTGTGCGGGATGCCTTAAACAAATCCAGAGCATTCAGGAGCAGAATCTAAAGTTAGAAGGAGGACATACTGGCTGCTGCATTGTTGTCAGAGAAGCCAGCACTTCAACATAGCATGTTTCCTTAATGTCTGATCAGATAGTAAGATACCTTTATCATTTCACTCACTACACAGCTTACTGATTGATCCTTTAAACACTGCACAGAGCAGTGTATCTAGGACTTGTGCATTGTTAAATGTGACAGCGCTAATGTTACTTTATGTCCATAAACACATAAATAATAACTAATATTCACAAGAGAACGGCTGATTGAAGGTGGAGAATTTAAAACAAAATCTGTGGTTAGTTCAGAAAATGCTGAGGTGCACATATTCTGAATTGAATGGAATAAACTACCGAGCGAGTCTATTGAGCATCAGACCTTATAATCATAACAAACACCTGAAACAGAAAGCAAAAAAAAAATAGTGAAAGTTATGGAGGCGCAGAGTTACTGCTAAGCCCTGACCGGTGCCAAAAAACACATTGTCTCTTTGTATTTTAAAACCTCCGACTCCTCAGCAATTTGTCCAACAATGCCTCAGCCAGCCTGACTTTACGAGGCCCTGAAAAACACTTCACAGTACTTATGCAAATTGGCTGTGACACTGGCAATATAACGTCCTACATGAGTTAAAAAGCAGTAGTAGAATTGGATCTAGCAGCTCAGGAGCAGCTCAGAAACCTCTCCGAGAGACATTTAGGGAGCTCTAGAAACACATTATTAGCCTCATTAGTCATTTTTGTAGATATATAGAGAAGGCTACAGTTTCACACTGTGAAACGACACCCTACCCACGGAGCTGCACAGGACCCCTGGCGGAGCATCCACGACTGCTGAACACATTAGTCGGTTAATGGGCTTCTTAAAAAGTGTAGGAGAGCGAGGAGGAGGGGATGAGTAGGAAGAGCCAAAGTCAAAGGGCATGAAGGGGGCAGGGAAGTCACCGACAATCAGAGGGAAAGTATTGAAAGTGAAAAAGTTTGAAGGCGGGTGAAGCAAGAGGAGGAGGGAAAGGGAAGGGCAGGGACAAAAGGGTTAAAAAGAGGGAGAGGAGGGAAGGGGGTGAAGCTCATGGAGGACATAAATAGGCGAAAGAGGACTTGGAGCCTTGCAGTCTTTCTTCCAGACAGCCACATCCATCGCTCTCCTCTCCCCTTCTCTTCACCTCCAGCCCTCCTCTCCACTCATCTGCTGCAACCTCTCACTCATCTGGAACCCCGAGCAAAATCAGTGAGTAGTTTCTGCACCACATCTTACATCCTGTCACCGCAGGGGAGGCACGGATAGCTGTCTCATTGAAGGATTATCAGAGTATGCATGTGCATTTAGAAAACATATACTTCTATGACTGTTGATATGCATGCATTCATAACATAATGAAAGAGTAGCAAACACTTGGAAGTTGCTGAAATGTTATGGACACAGTGCATTGTATTAAAATGAAATAAATGCTGCAGTGGAATGCAAACATCTGCAGACATAAAATGCATTCTGCTCCTACTATGTGGTCCCACTGTCATCCAATAAAAGTTTGAAAATGATACATGTTTGCATGTCAATACTGTTGCTGAATGATGTAGAAATGATTGCAAATCCTGCACAAAGTATAACTGCATATCACTCTATGTGCTTACCCTTCATGTGAATTTTATTATAAAATGTATCCCATGAGGTAACATTAACAGAATGTCAGAAGAAAAAGATAAAAACAGAAGAGTTCAGGTTAAGGCTGCTTTGTGAGTGTCATGTCGCTCATACTGCAGCTTCATATGGACGATAAGATGAGGTATCCAAAACTCTAAATGTCAGCTGGCATAGGTTCCTTCTGTTATATAATATCACAGAGCAAATAATTTACAGCCCCCCCCCCAAGGCTGTAGTTACAGCAATAACAAAAAACAAACGTTGGGTGTTTACTTCTTAATTAATACAAGCTCTCGTCCCGCCACTCCTTCACCCCCCTAAACTGACTTTACAATTCCTAAACAGTGGAAAAAAACAGAGCGTTCAAAGTGAAAACTGCTCCCTCTGACTCACATGCCCCACTTGATTAACTCCCCACTGGTGGTTCAAGCAGACGCTCTGCCCTTTTACTAACTTCTCTTTGTCAGTGCTGTTATGTTCAGGATCAGAGAGGACAACAGCAACTGCAAGAATAGATGTGAAAATCAATAAGATGCATGACTAATAACTTATTTTAAATCGGGCTAATAGACAGAAAAAGACAACGTGTGCAAACACAAGTCGAGAAGGAAGGACATGTATGCAAACATTTGGCAAAAGTTTCAAAAGACAGACTTCTTGTTGTGTTTCATTGGCAAAACAAAGAGCAGGAAAATGTTTGCATGTGGTGCTGACACTCTTTTTTTTGCAGCTGGATGAGAGCTAGATAGTAACGTTATCATTGACCTTTCTCCTCCCTGTTTATAGACCTCCTCCTTCAGGTACTTCATCCTCAGCATGAACGCCATAAGAAACATCCTCTCCCTCTCCGAGGCGCTCTACCACCTGCTCCTCATGGTGCTGACACTGGGCCGAGGCGTTCGTTCGATGCCGGTTCCCACTGACATTCCCATGTGCACGGCGTCAGAAACCGCCCAATACAGGCTCACGTTTACCGGCAAGTGGAGCCAAGCTGCTTTCCCCAAACAGTATCCAGTCTACCGGCCCCCTGCACAGTGGTCAAACCTCATTGGTGAGTGCAAACCAGTCTCAAACCGGTCTACCCATAGTGCACAGCGTCTGAATACAGTTTATTGCATAAAGAGTATATAATCTGACTGAGGCAGTTTATACACATCTCTGATGATGTACCTTTTTTACTGTACCTGCTGCTTCAACTAACATCCTTCTCTCCTCTACTGTTAGGGGTGACTCACAGCTCTGATTACCACATCTGGCAGCGTAATGAGTTTGCCAGCAATGGAGTGAGGGAGTTCGCTGAGAAAGGCGAGGCCTGGACCATCTTGAAGGAAGTCGAGGCGGCCGGCGAACGCATCCAGAGCGTTTATGGGATCCTGTCAGCTCCTGCTGTTGTGGGAGGCTTAGGCCAGATGAACACTGAGTTCGAGGTCTTCGCCAGGCACTCCTATGTAAGTCACTCAACACCTGGTTTTCTTTCACTTTGGGTCTGGACTTGCAAGTATGACAGAGGCTTTTTTGGGGGGGGTCAATAAGATGGTTTGATTCTCTCTTAGCCGAGGTCATGGGGATTGTGGTGCAGATCATCCAGACTTCTAACACTTTAAGCGAGCGTGACAGTGTAGTAATTTGAAGGTTTTGTACCAAAATTAAACCCGATTATCTTTACATCCAATGCGCCTTGCAGATGTCCCAACAGGTACAATGTATTTCCAACAATGATTGTGTTTACAGCCAAATATAAAAACATAAAAATTAAGCTATGGTTATGAAAATTCAAAAATGATCCAAAATGTAAAACTCATGACTGAAGTGGTTTTGCAGTCATAAGTCAGAAACTGTCATGCTACTGCTGCTGTCGGTCATAAAAAAACACAACATTATGATGCCTTATTAGGCGGATGCTGCAAAAGTAAATGCTAACTTATCTGTCAAATATTTGTTAATTAAGTATCATCTGAGGATGTCAAAAAACGCAAAATTACTGTATTTTCTCTTCCTGTAAAACGTTTCAAATGTAGAATGACTCATCCTGCACTCAGGGGTGTTTACTAATCTTTGTTGTAGTTAACGATCCAATCAATCCATCCCAACGTGATGTCCCGCCTTCTATCTTGTGATTGGTTCTATCTCCTTTCAGTTGGAAAAACAAAATGACAGTTAGATACTCTTGTAGTTCCATTTCATGGGGATTTCAATGTAATGATAAAACCAGCTCCAGTCTGCTTTTTTTTCTTTTCTTTTTTTCCACGTTCAAGTCCGACTTGTGTCTGTACATTTGATGTCAAACTCTGCAGGAGTTGGCTGTTAATCGTCCCGCTGATGATTGTCTGAGTGGGACATAAAGTTTGGGGAACATCTGACAGAACAAAATGTTAAGCTTGGACAAGAGAGGAGAAGTTAAACTCACAACCCTTTTTCATTTTCTTTCCCACCCATGTCTTTCTCCTTATCTCCACCTCTCACTCTGACCCACCTCTTCGTTTCCCTGTCTCTTCATCTCTCTCTACGCTTCCTATCCCCTCCCTGTGGTCTACTTCCTCCCCTCTATCTGCAGTTGTCGTTTGTCGTGCGCCTCGTTCCAAGCCCGGACTGGTTTGTGGGTGTGGACTCTTTTGACCTGTGTGACGGCGACCACTGGAAAGAGAATATGTCCCTGGAGCTTTTCCCTTATGATGCAGGAACTGACAGCGGGTTCACGTTTTCTTCTCCCAACTTTGAGACCATCCCACAGGACAAAATCACACAGGTAAGTCTGCCGGAGGACGAGGCCAACATCCATCAATCAAAAGCCAAAAATCACATATGTAGAAGAGGCTTCATCCAATCAATTGAGCAGCAGAAGATAAACAAATCTTGAAGGCGTTATGTGTCTCCATGGACATTGTAGTAACCTAAATGCTCAACACACTAATATCTTAGCTGCTGAAAATCCTGTTTTCTTTTGACAAGATTAAAATGACGTTACTACAACATCAACATCTCTTTCCATCTGTCATAAATCACCAAATATTCACCGTAAATCCTTCTCCTTCCCACAGATCACGTCTTCCTTCCCTAGCCACCCTGCCAACTCCTTCTTCTACCCCCGCCTGAAGCACCTGCCTCCCATCGCCAAGGTAACGCTGACCAAGATAAAGAAGACCAATCAGATCATCACCTTGCCCGTGGAGCCGACCCAGTCCGACCTATTGTTGACGGGAAACGAGATTGAAGACTCGCCAATAAGTAAGTCTCAGCCGTGTATATATGCTGAAAATTTCAACTACTGTACCTCAAAAAAATGCAATCATATTTAAAAATGATGAAACTAGAAAATCCACCAGGACTGCTAGCTTCGATGTGCTTGATTGCCCAATGCAGTGCCGTGCCACAAGACCTTGCAAAGCCCCTCTATGGACCTGACATTTAGCAATCATGTGGGTCAGTAGGATAATTGTGTAAAATAATTTCTTGAAAACTGCAGATTTGACCCAGTATCCTTTCTCCTCCAACTCTCACTGATAAGAGTAACAAGTACAGACAGAAGTATGTATTCTAAGTTGCATAAATGTACGGTTTCACCCATCACCAACAGCTTTTGGTCTTAGTCTTTTGCTGACTCAAATGAGCACATTTGGGAACCATTACAGGCCCACACACAAAGTCAATTACTTCCAACCAGACGGCGAGAAACCAAGTGAGGGTAGGGCATCAGAAAAACGCCAGGGGCACATCTGGGCTCCGGTGAAACAGCAGGAAAATTAAAGACTGAGAAAAGGGAAAAAAAGCATTTGAAGAAACAACCATGAAGAAATTATGTACAGCCATGTTTGGGTCGTGAACCCTTAAATGGGATGAAGACGTGTATGTTTTAACAGGGTCTGTCTGGATCCATGAGGGGAAGCTGGTTTACTTAATGTTGGACTGTTAACATTTAAGACTCCCTGCTGTAGCCATTAGTGGTCATAGTGTAAAAAGAAAATGACTGCAGAGGCATTTAGGGTGATAGCTTTGGGGAAAAAGGTGAATAGTTTAAAATGCAAGTTCAGCCAATAATACAGAAGTCAAATAAACTGTACTGGTGAGTGATTATCTTCAACATGACAAGGAGAGGAAAATGACCTTTTATAAAGAACAGAATCCACCACAAAATGTCTAAACAGATGACTTGACCGGGGGAAAGGTTTTCTTTGGAGGGGAACAGATAGCGTGTCAACCTGGCAGTCCAGCCAGACACTGCGGTAATCACATTCAGTGTTCACAGTGAGGGTTAGGATTCGAGTCAGCGTCACAGAATGCAGGTCCATTCCCATGACAACCGACCCAACAAACAGAGCAGAGGGGCCAAATATCTGCTGGGATTTACCCGCCCTTGATCCCAACGCTCCGTCCAACCCCTCCATCTGTTTATGTGTCCCTCCCTCCTGTCATCCCTCCTTCTCTCTGATGTCTTAAGAACTCGAGAGACAGCTTTAATTAAAGATTAGCAATCACCGCCTCTAGGTTCTGTCAATGAACACAAACTTGAAATCAAATGACACAAGCTTTGTGTTTCCCCTTTGTCCTTTAAGGGCACACAAGTTGAACTAGGATGTGACTTTCTTGTTCCATTACTCCACCCGGCTCCATCACCAACTCCCATCCCTCTGCTTTTCTACTTTTCATGACAACCAAGTCTGCAATACTTATCAGGTCTGCTGAGGTAGCCCAGCAAGTTCTGAATGCTGGAGAAAGGGAGCAGAGAAATTAAGAAACAAGGCAGTTTCTTTCCCCCTCTATTACAGCTGAGGAAATCCCTAACTTCTGCATCTGACTCATTAAATGGTAGCAAGCTCACTCAGCAAAAACTCACTCTATAAACGAATAAAACGACAGCGACGCGATGCCAAAATCTAGAACAAGAAACTCTGGTTCACTCAATGCACGCCTGTAAAGTCTTTAAAAAGCTTTGAACAGAGAGACAGCAGAGAGAAGTGCAGTGATTTTCTCTAAAATGACTAATCCCACTGCTCTCCAGGCAAGTCCATAAAAAGGAAAATAAAACCATTCTCCACTTCCAAACAATGAAAACATTACACTTAAAAAGCTGGCGAGGCACGCCCATGCAATGAGGGGAAACATTGCAAAGAAAAACCTTCATGTGATTCTAACGCCCCCGCTCTCCCTGCAGATACGCCTCTGGACTGCGAGGTGTCCGTGTGGTCCCCGTGGGGCTTGTGCAAGGGCAAGTGTGGAGACTCAGGCGTGCAGCACCGCACACGCTACGTCCTCATGCACCCGGCCAACAGTGGAGTGGTCTGCCCCCTGCTGGAGGAGGAGAGGAAGTGCTTCCCCGACAACTGTTTATGACTAGGCCAGGAGAGGAGGGAGAAGAAGGAGAGGAAGGAGAGGCGAGAGAGGAAGGAGTGCACGGTGAGGAAAGGGAAGAAAGCGAGGAAAGGGAGAAGGCGGAAGAACAACAGCAAAAGGTCCGCGGTGAAATCGCACGAGGTGTAAATACGACGAGCCGGACTCCCTGCCCTCCGCTGCAGAAATAACAGAATGACTCATCCTTAAGCCACATTGGCAGATCTGTCGGCACTAGAGAGGCGTCGTTAAACTATTAGAAAGTAACTCAGTTCTGTCAGATTATATAATTGGTTGAGGGGAACAAAGATGTTTTATTTGGAGTCAGTTTGACTGTTGGGATGATCACAGACGTGTGTTTGCCTGCAGTGTATTATGACTCCAAGCAGCTTTCAACTCTCGGATTAGGAAGTAAAGCTATAAGAATACTAAAGATATAAAACCTGACTTTAAGAAATACTGATCCAAATAACTACATCATCTAAAAACAGGGAGGCTCGGCTGCTCCGTCTGCAGACGAACAAAAGAGTCTAAGATAGAAAATAAAGTTCCTGGTCCAACAAATGATGTCACAATCAAAACATAAACAGAGACGTTGTGGTTGTTTCCCTGAAGACGAAGAAGAGTATATTTATTAACAGGATTTTAACCTGTAGTGTACAGTATATATCATGTCAGGAAGTAAAAAAAACAAATGTATATTCCTTTGTGTTATGAAGATATTATTTCAGTACGGAAAATCAACCTTTTGTAAAAAAAATGCCAAAAAATGTACAAAAAATGTCTGCAGTCTTTATGTGTCATGAAGTGTAAATATATCTAAGGGATGTTGTGGCCTCTTGTTTGATAGAGTCTCTTTTGAATAAAGATACGACATTTCAGTATATTCAGAGTCTCATTGATTGATTTCACGTCACACAATCATTATAAACATGATGGCTTCAAATCCCTCTGAGTGCTTCTGCTAAATGCAATATGTGTTTTTCACAGCTTTGCAGAAACTGTTAAAATGATTTGTGTCGGATTTATGAAGTGTAAGACACAAATTGCCCCAGCAGGTCTCACCTTTGGGTTCAGGTCATACACTTTATAGGTAGGAGCTTTCACCAGTAGGGGCCCCTGAGGGCTGACATACTTAAACCACAACAGTAGACCAAAATGTGCAGATTTTGCAACAACAGCAGGAAACCTCCCTAAGGGGGCCCCATCTGACAGCACTCACTCACAATGACCTGCTAAGCGTTGCATGCATTATTATTATTGCTGTGAAAACCAAAGTTTGTTGATGAAGAGGAATGATCCGTCTAGAGGAGAGAAAAGAGGACGAGGAGTAAGCGCCGGGACACTGGCAGACATGATGGTGATGAACACTGGCTGGAGGGCCCCCCAACTGATTCTTGCTTAGGGCCCCAAGAGACTCTAGAATCGCCAATAGTTAGGCGCAAAGCACAAAAACTTTTTTGTCTGCTACGCTACGCTACAGCATACGAGTTAACGCTGAGTGAATGTGAATCGGCAATTGTTGGACTCTTGCATAATGAAATTCATGAACACCGATGTGGGATGAGAAATAAATCTTCCACAAATGAAGAAGATATTGGAGGCTCAGGAGCGAAGATAAGGCGAGCACATCATTTAATGAATTAGCCCGTCTTTGTCGCCCCTCATGAGCGGCTTTAAGTTCAGCCGTAGTCACGATCATTTGTAAGGATTTCTCTTGGATGCTCATTCACAACAAAAGGCACAAAGGTCAATTTGATGGTGACCAATACACCCACAGTATAGGCCACTTGATCCCAACCTTTTTCTTTCCTCCTCCCCCTAATTGTATCTGAAGTTGTTTTAACATCTACACGCTGACATCACTCAGGCTTCATCCATCAATATTTACAATCTATGGTTTGAACCCGCGGCACCCGCTTGGAGGACTAAAGCCTCTGTACATCGGACGTGCGCACTAACCACTAGGCTACAGGCGCCTCATTATCAAACATGTTTGATTTAACCCCCGATGCTCTGTGCGCTGATCAGGGAGGTTAAGAGTGGATCTTTATACCGCTCACACTTATCCGGGCAGATAATCGGTTCTGAGCAGCCTCGAGTGAAGAACGCCGCGCTATTGACTTTAGTGAAATGTTGTCATCCAGAGCATGGAAGTGTAAAATGAATCTTCATCAGGCTGTGACGTACACAATCTAGGCCCGCGTCCCAAATATCATCTCCAGTGTCAAAGCCAAGCTCATCTCAATGCAATATTTTTCTCTTAAATTTGAACGCTTACTTTGTGGCTCCCAAGGTTATATTACCAACACTCGGGCTGCGGGATCAAATTGAGTGCAGAGAGAAATACTTTCAACTGGTTGACCCGGGTCGAGGCCTCACTGTTGGCTGGGATCCGCCCTGATGAAGTGTCGGTCGTAAAACGGAAGAACGTTCTCGCCAACTTTTTTTAAAATCAGTTCACCGAATGTCGATTTGGATTACGACGCCTCCAAATCTCACAGAGCTCCATTCTCACTTTGACGTCCAGGGCAGCTCGACCCCGGCACAGAGCAGGGGTCCCGCTTAATAGATAGAGCAGAAACCAGCGACCCCTCTCTCTCCTTTTTTTGTCTTTCAGAAGAAGTTTCAGTGCAGGATTAAGACAACAAAATGTGAACAAAGTTGAAATAAATAGAGTCTTTCGTGCACAATAAGGGTGTAAATATGTAAAACAGACAGAAAGCATCCCACACATGTCGCATTGAACAGCAATAAGAACTAAAAATCTGGAGCTGGAGGGAGCTCCTGGTGTTTTGAATGACAATGGAGAGGAAAATTACTGGGACAGAGAGTCAGGAGAAAGAGGAGAGGAGCAGATTCAGCCTCTGGCTTTCCTCAACAGCAGTTTCATCAACCAAGTTTGAGGCAGGACGACAGGTAAGAGTTTGTGTTCCACAGTCAGAGTTTCCAAGATGATTTAAACTATCTGGAGAGCGTGATGAAAAAGGTTTTATAGATCTATGAAATATGAACAAGATATTCTTCTCACATACATGTACCCGAATTTGGCACATGCACTAACACACACATGTACATGTATTAATGGAGAGATGTCAGAGTGGGGCTGCTACACAGGGAGCCCCTCAGAGCTGTTGGGCACCTCTGCAGTCCTCGGGAAATGACCTGGCACCTCCCCAGCAACCAGATCAACTTCCATACTTTGGTCCGTACCTGGACTTGAGCTGGTCGACCCTTCAGTTTTCAACCCAAGTCCCTACAGACTAATGTAGGGTTTCAAACTCTGAGAGTCAATGTGAACCCAAATGGTAAACGGCAAATGGACTTCAGCTTGAAAAGTGCTTTTCTAGTCTTCTGTCTACTCAAAGTGCTTTTACACCGCAGGTCACACCTTCACATTCACACACTGATGGTAGAGACTGCAGAGTAAAGAGTCCATCAGAAGAAACTAATCTATTCATACACATTCACACACCACAGACGAAGCAGTGGGAGCAATTTGGGGTGCAGTGTCTTGCCCAAGGACACATCGGACATGTTGCAGCAGGAGCTGGGGATCGAACCCCCCGACCTTCAGGTTGTGAGACGGCCCTACCACTGAGCCATAGCCGCCCCTCAATTCAAGTGTTAAAGCAGTAAACAGAATCATTTAGAGTTTTACTTGAAATGCTTTTTGCTTTTGAGTGTTCACACACATGTAAAACTACTGAAGTGTGGGAGAAGAAGTTCTGACTCTTTGCTCACTCTGAGGGAATAACAACCTTTCCAGATGCTGTGTGTGTGTGTGTGTGTGTGTGTGTGTGTGTGTGTGTGTGTGTGTGTGTGTGTGTGTGTGTGTGTGTGTGTGCGGGTTTACTTTATACGTGAGGGAGAGCAAACGGCAACTACTGTACATGTGATGGTTTGGATTATAATCTCTGAAAAGATCTGGACTAGGTGTGTTCAGATGTGCATGCTTGATGGTGTCTTCCTGGTTGGGGTGAAACTATTCCCACTGTGCACGTCTGAAGGTCCTCCTGCAGAACGGCACTCTCCCTGTATGTACTGCTGAGTTTACCGCTGAATTAGGAAGAGAAGAAGAAAAAAGTTGATTCAAATACAGACATCCAACCTCACAGATAAGAGAGAAGGAAATCTCTGTCGCACAGCGAGGGGGGGAGAGTGGAGGAGCAACATCTGGAGACGGGCAGCAACAGAGGTGTTTGTTTACAACACAGACCGAGTCAACCTGCACGGAGACTCTGACGAGCTCACCAAAAACTAGACCGAAATAATACCAGAGGAGTAAACACACAGCTGGACTTGAGTTCTGCTTGATCTCACTCTGGAGGAAAACTTTATCAACACACAGCCATTAACAGAAACAAATACCTTGTGTTATGTACCAAAGACCAGAAATCAAGTTCTCACAAGTTAGTGCACTTTTTTTTATGTTAACCGTAGTTAGTATTTCAGATTCAGATTCAGAAAACTTTATTTATCCCAGAAGGGCAATTCAGTTTCACAACCTACCGAGCCATTGAAAAACGCAAAGACAACATAAAAGGAAACAAACACATCACCACAGCATTCAAACAGTTACATCCACATGTCAGTAACAACCAGCGCTATCAGTTTACAATTTCCTAATACGATGACAGACTTGTTCAGCATTCAACAGCCTGATAGCTGAAGGGATTAAAGAGTTGGAGTATCTATTTGTCCTCCTTGGAGGGGCAAGATAGCGCCGTCCAGAGGGCATTAAAGAAAACTCAAATGAGACAACATGTTTATGATCCCTTTGGCTTTCTGGACCACACGCTCCTTCCACAGGGAGCTCAAGTCTTTCAGCTGGACTCCAATAATCTTAGAGCAGACTTTTACGATGTGGTTCAAACTGTTCTTGTCCGTCACAGACAACCCATTGAACCAACAGATAAAAGAATGATAAAAGCTACATAAGAGGCTTTGTGAAACACTACAAGAGTTCAGCCTCCGCATCAAATGAATAACCCTAACCCTAACACACAGTGTTTCCACGGCAACCATAAGTATAGCTTGTCTGTCATGGCGGCTACCTTGACAAGACACGGGGCGTTACAAGTATTAAGATTATGGATTTCCCTGGCTCTGATTTGATTGAACTGTTGGGAAGGTAGGGACACAAAAAATAAAATATATATATCATGGTTTTTACTAATTCACATATTTTAGTGTAGCTAGAAATCCATCACTTTGGACCACCCGACGCCCAGCCTCCACCATCGGACTGTGTCGTCCTCACAACCACCGCCGTCCTCCTTTACGCACGGCCTGCTCCGACCTCCACCTCAGCGGTGAGGAAGAGTGGACAACAGGAACGAGAGGAGAAATCCTTCCTGCTTATTACCCCATCTGCTCTTTTTGAAAAGCGTCTCCAGATAACACTCGTTGTGACTTGGCGCTTTACAAATAATGATTGATTGTGTGAGGTAAAGTCAGAGCATGCACTTGGCCCTAAAAAAAAAAAAATTCAAACATTTTGCTCTTCCAAACCCCTCCATGGTCGTTCTTCTACGCAGACATTTCCCTTTGAATGGAAATAGGACTTATTGTAAGGGTTGAGCTGTATCATGAACAAACTGCTGGATAATAAGTTTCCACTGCAAGTTGTCAGTCGCAGTGAGTCACGACTCTTAGCAGCCTTCCTATTGGCTCCTCGGTCGAGCAGTCACAAAACAAACAAGACGTGTCGTCACAGAAAGCGGCACCTGTGAGTTTCTCACACTCAGACCGGCTCCCTCACTGCCCTCCACTCTGAACGTAAAGTAAAGGACATGCAGTTCTACTTGTAGTCAATGACACATCATTCAATCCTGAGTCAGACTTTGTGGATCTACAAAAAAAAAAACAATCAGCTCTTTCTACTTTCAGGCCAAACATTCGGTCACTTTCAGGTGCTTTGTAAGTGAACCCCTTGTTAACTGAAGATGGGTTTTCGAGGTGTTGGCGTCCTCCTGCAGTGTTACCTGATGTTGGCAGCAGCCATGTATTTTGATCTCGGAGAGCAGGAGAAAAAATGCATCATTGAGGAGATTCCTGAAGATACATTGGTTACTGGTGAGTCCTAAAGAGAGAGAGAGAGAGAGAGAATATGTCTCATGAGGGTCGTTTCAGACTTGAGCACAGGATTGTGAAGTAATGTGAAATGTGTTTTTCAAGGCAGCATGTCTAATATCTTTCAAGTGCAAAAGGCATTAATGGATTTCAAACCACCTGTTAAGCTGCTTCTTCTTCCTGCAAATCTATTTGTTTTGTTTTTTATACTGAAGTAAACAGGTCAAGGAACAAATGAATTAAAGGAAGAATGTGTGACTTTTTGATCCAGTAGAGGTCGCCCTTGAGCACCTGTATGAAACCAAAACAAACTTCCTGTTAGGCCACACCTCCTCCAAACTGAATCCTCCGCTCTCCTCCAGAGACACACCTCCAACCCCCCTGCACTCACATTCAATTGAAAGAGTTCTGAACTAGAACGACCAGAACTGTCCTCGGCTCGAGCTCCTCGCTGTGTCCTGCATTGTTGTGTTGACAGTGTGCTCGTAGCTTCACATTTCATGTAAACTGACACAGAATGACAGTGATCTAAATAATCAGTGAGTATGTTCTTCTTCTTCTCTCTAGTTCTTGACTAAAACAGCTTTTATACACAAGGGGAGGAGCCGGCCGTCCCGTCCATGTAAACACGGCTCTGACAACAACACAGCCAGCGGGACTCGAGCTTCTCCCTCATTGTAGACAGTCAGGACTCAGAGACACATTTACACAGGACAGACTTTATGATTTATTTATGTGGAACATTCTTTCTTTAAATAATATTACAGTACATGTATAAACAATGAACATTATATTTGCTTCTTATCAAACCCCTTACATGCTTGATTCTTATCTTGACTACCGCCGCGGTGTGTAGTCGTGTGTGAACGCTGTGTCTTACCTTCAGGTTATTTCTTGTTGGAGCCCTGGGATATGAAGTCGGTCACCTCCTCCCCTCACCTCAGCGTCACTGTGACAGTCAGAGACCCAAACCATGAGGTACCGCACCCACCCAGCAGAGGTTTATCATTGCACTTCCTGATTTACCCATTACATTTATTTATGTATCACAAGGATTCATTTACTTTAATCAAACCTTAAAACACACTCTGCTCACTTCCTGTGTGTCAGATCAGACTTAAGGTGTATCTTTGCTCTTCCTGATGTTGTCTCCTCCTCTCTAGATCCTTGCTTGTGTTGTTCTTACTCTCTGATGTTTTCCGTATTGGATAGAAGCGTCTGAATTGTAGAACTCACAGAAAGAGCCTTTTGTCTCTGTCCTCGTATGTACAGAAATTGTTTAACACTCTTCCTGCTCTTCTTTCTGCTGACTGATTTGGTAACACAGACTTATTTTGCGATTTCAAATTCAAATTTTTAACAATTTCAGAGACAGAATCCTTCCCTGTGCTTCGTTCCTCTTTCTGTCATAATGCACCGAGGCGTTTTTTTTAAAATCAGTTTTTAACACCTGACCAACAAAAAAAAGGAAACACTAGAAGCACCATTTACAATTTGGACTTTTTTTTAGCAGCGAAAACGTTTTTTCTTCCCCCCACTCTCTCTAGGTTCTGATGACCAAACGTTACAGTAAATTTGGCAAACTCACCTTCACAGCTCACGCCTCTGGTCAGCACTACCTCTGCTTCCAAAGCAACTCCACGCGGTTCTCAGTGTTCGCTAGAGAAAAGCTGGTGAGACCTGCGGAGATGAATACAACATTCAAACAGAGGGAAAACACAGTAAGCTGAGTCAATGCCTGCGTTTTATAAAAAACAGCGACTAACTCTCCTCTCTGCTACAGAAGCTGCATTTGGACGTTCAGATGGGAGAGCACACGATTGGCCACAGCACAGAAAAAACCAAAGACAACATGGTGCTGTTGGAGAACAGTCTCAGACACCTCTTCGAGCAGATGATGTACATCATCAGGCAGCAGGAGTACCAGAGGGTGAATAACCTTTTTCTTAACCATGTTAGGGCTTATGATCATCTTTGAAAGGCATAGGCCCCCGTGTCCACCTATAACATTTGTTTTCTGAGCGCCAGCATTTTTCACTTTTTTAAATTGTTTTCAATGAGTAGAGAGCGTTTGCAGCAGAAGGAAGCTGCCTGGAGAAGAACGGCGTCTTTTTTGCGAGCGCTCTGCCTTTTTTGTGCGGCCGCTCCGAGAGCTCAAGTTGAAAATAATTTAACTTTTCAGAAACGCGCTCGCTGACGTCACAACGCTCTTTTCCAAATGTAGCCTATGTTTTTCCCCGTGTTTTTCCCGCCTACGGATCGTGTCTTGCACCCACATCCTCCTCGCTCTGCGTCTGATCGGGTAAAAACAATCTAAAATATAAAACATGCAGTAAAAAGTAACGGAGCAGTGTCGGTCATACAGCGGTCGTTATTCTTATGCTTCATACATAAACATCCATGTTTCTTTTTCCCGTTTTTTTTTACATGATATTTCGTCCTCTCACAGGAAAAGGAGGAGGTGTTTCGTCAGATCGGCGAGGACACCAACAGTAAAGTGCTGTGGTGGGCCGTGGTGCAGACCTCTATCCTGCTGTCGGTCGGTTTCTGGCAAATGAAACGACTCAAAGACTTCTTCATTGCCAAGAAGTTGGTGTGATGTACGACCTTTGACCTCTCAGCCTGATGATCATCTCAATGTCGTATACAAAAAAAGGCTGCAACAAGTATACGAGACACTTTGAAAATAAACACTCTCTCCTCTTACTGTCAAACAGCTGGTCATATGAACACGGGGAAAAACGAAAAAATTATGTTTGAGTAGCAGGTGTGTGTTTAGAGATGATGTTAGTGTTGTAAGGACAATCTTTGAAATATTTCTAGTGGGTTGTTTTTAAAGCTTCTGCTCCTCCTCCATTATTTATTAACTCAGTTGCCGTGACAACAGCATTTCATTAGACTTAATAAAGATAATAATAACAATGTATCTGACTTTTATAGCGCTTTTCCAAATACTTAAAGACACTTAACACAGAAGAACAACAAAATAAAACAAAGAAGAAAGAATGTCAGAGAAGGAGGATGAGGACGGGGTGTGTTCGTGGTTGTAGGCGACGTTGAAGAGGTGAGTTTGTATGGATTTCTTGAAGGTGGAGAGATGGGGGGGGGGGGGGGTCTCTGACGTTAACATTACAATTAGCTTTTTTGAAGGTAATATTCCAGTGACACAGTTTAGACTTTAGTTACAGTTTCGATCGATTTGGCTCCTTTTACAAAATAGGACAAAAGTACAATTATCAGTTCAGTTTCATGTCTTTAAAAGGTCATAGGTCAACCAAACACATTTCATTCTTGTTTCAAAACGGAGCTCAAAGTCAAAGTCAACTTTATTGTCAATTTCAAAATATGCCAGACATACAGTGGAACCGAAATTGCGTTTGTCTCCGTCCCGCGGTGCAATACAACCAGAATAAGGTAAAATAAGATAAATAATATTTACAGTAATAAATTCTATGCGTCAGGAAATTGGTCAATGGCACCAAAATAAGAAGTTGTCATTGTGTGAGTGGTATACTGGTCAAAATGTTTCACAAATCTTGTCATGTTTTTGTCACTCTGGAAAAGTTTCGATTACCAATTTTATTTCACACCTTCTGTTGACACTGATGGCTCACTGTCGACTCGCTGAATGCTCCTTTATTCTGTAGCTAATGAGCCTTTTTTGATTCAAATTTCAACACTAGTTCAACGTTTTCAGGGAACAACCCAAGCTGTAAGTTACAGCAGTAGCCTACACATAAAGATCAGTACATCTGTATGTCTGCAGTACATTTGCCTGGGTAACAACAATGTGTTACATGTACTGTAGCCTACAGGAAATTCACCTTTGGTCTTTCATGTCAAGTCATATAACCTAAAGAAAATCTGTCACAAAATGACACCCATGTGTTTCTTCATTCATTACTGACAGCTGGCAGCTCATTAACATGTGATGGATGTTCATGGAGAACATGACCCGTCTAACTGACGGGACCATTCTGCTGTGACAGCTCAAAAGATGACAGAACGTTTAGAAGTTGTGAAGAGTTTGACAGTTTCAGCATCAACATATCAGTTTGAATCAGTCCGTAGGTAGAAGTGGGTGTGGTGCTTATTTGTACTGTTTAGCACTCAAATTTACCTGAACTAGTTAGAAATTCAGATCTGTTGTGAAACACATAGACCTGCTAAATAACTGTTCAGAGATTTGATCTTTTTGTCTCTCATTTGAGAATTGAGCAAAAGTAAATGAGGGAAACCTGCAAAAAAAAAATGTTTGCACAAAAATGCAAATTGTTTAGTATTATTCTATGTACAGGCTTTACACAGAGGCTTTGCATCTAAAATCACAACATGAAATTATTGACTAAAAACAGCTATATCCTAATAAGAAAATATAATTTAAAAAAGCAAATGTAGGAGATTTTTTATTTTCCTTCTAAGACACTAAAGAGTTAATATAACTTACCTCTTTTAAAATACGTACCTGTGAAGGTTCAGTTGATGTTACAGTTCTTCATTTGACAGATAGCCTCGCATCCATGAAAGAGATCGAGTGTGGTACCGGAAGTTCATGTTTTCCATCAGCCATGATGTCATCACCATCCAAGGTAGACTGACCACGAGCTTCAGGAGGATGAAACGATGGTTAATGTTCCTGTTGGAGACACAAGTTCGTCTGATATGAACCTCGTTTTAAGAACAACTCGGATTATTAGCGACCTCGGGTTGAAAGAACTACACTACCCACAATCCTAGCGTTTAACAGCAACGTCTTTGATTGGAGGAGCCCGCTGTTACCATGGAAATGCTCACTGAACCCGCGAATTCAGGCTGTAAACAGAAGTTAACAGAAGTTCAACACAAACTAAAACATGTTACAACATTTCATTAACAATATAAACACTAATACAAAGATAAATGTAGAAAGACGTTCAGAAAAAAGCGCGCTAAACTATCGTTTTGTGAGAACTTGTTGGAATTGCATCGGACATGTGGCTGCAGGAGCTGGGAATAAAGATAAAGATTAACTTTATTGATCCCCCATGGGGGACATTTTTTTGTCACAACAGCTCCAGAAACAGAAATATAATCATCAACAATAACAAGAAGTTAAAAATCAAACATGTGTAGGCCTACATCAGTTAAATAAAGGGAGAAAAAAATACAATAATAGAATAATACTAGAATCGAACCCCCGACCTTCTGGTTGAGAGACAAACCGCCTCTACCACTGATCCACAGCCGCTAACTAGAAGATAATTTAAGTGCTTTTTAATCCAGTAGATATTTAACTTTATAACTGAGCAACGTTTTTTGAGGTTTTTCAGATTGAATGTGGGTACCTTAAATGAGATTTCTAAGATAGTCTTTGATTTATTATCACACCAAGAAATGTAGCTCCTTCCACCACTTCCATTCCCATCTATTGTTAGACTGATCAATGCATCTTTCCTTCATTAAACATTACAACTTTCATAAAACATTGAAAATAAAGATGCTTTCTCCCCTTGATTTAGTAGACAACGCACACATTGACCACTAGATGGCAGCCATGCACCACTGACATGAGCTTGTGTTTGAGGCCATGAACGACCATCTAACTTTACAAAGAGACTGCTGTGATGGAGGGGTTTTGTGCAAAATAATGAATATCAAATTGAATTCTGGGTTTGTTTTCTTCTATTTGAGAGATCGACAAAAAAAGTAAGTATGCAAAGTTTTGTGAACTTGTGTAAAATGAGAGTGAATAAGACAAATTCATTCTGCATCCGTCACATGAAGCATTAACAATCATTCTTCTCCTGGCATTATTGTGAAGTGATATTTGGAACTGAATACCCTTGTACGGAGGACGGGGTAAAAGACACAGGAAACAAATGTCTGAATCTGTCGTCAGCCTCGGAGAAGTATCTCCTTCATGTGGTCAGGCGTACCAAATTTCATCCTTGGTAATATTATATATTGATTTAATATACAGGGAGCCGACGAGGACAGTTGTGGGCTGTCAGGACAGAAGACAAAAGGTTGTTTGGGGAATGCGTCCCGGTGAAGAGCTGAAATAGCTGCTGGAGGAATTTGTTGTTCTAAAGTGAATACTCTCAGCCGTTCAGTCTGCTTTTCCATCTTTGTTAAAAATGGAAAAAATAAATTGATGCCTGTGTGCTATCACATTACAAATTATACAGCTCAGATCACCCCTCCTCCTCCTCCTCCTCCTCCTCCCAAAGAATCCCAAAGTAAAGAAAGTTTTCAAGACAATAATGCAGAGAATGGAGAAAGGAAGATCAAAAGAAAGAGGAAGACAAGTCCCGACAGGTGGTAACGTGGCTGTGCAGCCTCTTCTATAAATGTTGGATGTGTTCGCAGATTTATCAGGCTTTCTTGGGGACATGTGTCTGAATGTCTGCCTCATCTATGGGAAAAACTATCCGCAAAGAGACGGCCATAAGTCTCCCTCTCTCTCCGCGTTTGAACTCCAGAACCTCTGGAATTGTCACATCATCGTGCAACTGATACAGGGAGGACATGCGATCTGAATTACAGCCACGGCATTGTTCACATTTCTGAGAGTATGAACTGTCCGCCTTTGCGATTTTTCATGTACATCTGTGCACCTTTGCTGCAGACACTCCAAATGAATATCCTAACCTTTTCACATCACATTGGACTTTTTTTTTTTAAATGTCTGTTCTCATTTTTTATTTTATTTTTTTTTACCTCTCCCCGCTGTGACTTCATCCTGACAACGCTTTCACACCCCGAGTCTTCATAAAGATAATTGACAAACAACAGAAAATGCCAGATGAGGTAAATGCCATCGCACAAATAAAAGCACGCTGGGAAGAGGGGGAAAAAAATGTCAGAAAGTGCTGCCTTGCCTTTCACAATATTTAGATTGGGATCAAGAGATTTCCTGTTATTTATTAAGCTGTATTCCTGAGTGACTGACGGATGAGTGAAGATGATCAGAGCGTAAAAATAGTCGTTTGGAAAAACACTGTTTGCACAAAATAAAAAACCCAGTCTGTATATTCATGTACACATACTGTAATGTTTGTAGCTTTAATTCACATCATGGCAAATACAACGCATGTATAAGAATGTATTCATCATGTTTGGTTTCCCTGGCATCGTTTTATTTAAATGTTTTCATGCTAATTGTTTGAGCACATTCAAAACAAAGGAATGAATGAAACCTTTATTGCCCCTCGGGGAGTTTACCTCGCAGCGAGCGCTTAAAAACACAACGTGATAAAAGACGTAGAAACCATACAGGACAGCACATAAAAACTAAATCAATGCCAGATTTATACTGTATGATCAAAGCTTGTTGAGCTGCTGAATGATGCACAAACTACAAAACAAACTACACAAAACACAAACCAAAACATAAAATACAACACAAGCTACACAATACAACACAAACAAAAACAAAAACTACAACATAAACTACACGATACAAAACAAAACACAAACTACACAATACAAAACAAAAACCAAAACATAAACTACATTAAAAGCTCCACAAACTACACAAATCAAAACATAAACTATGACATAAACTACATTAAAAGCTACACAAACTACATAAACCAAAACAAACTACAAAGGTATGGTACAAATGAGGTGACTCCTCTGTTAGTCCTCATCCTGGGCCACCTGTACCTGTGTCCTGAAGTCTAGACTTCATGCTCAGACCAAAGTGGGTCCAGTCTATGTGTGTGCCCCAGAA